TTGATAAGCAACATCATCCACCTTCTTAAGAACTAGGTCACATGAGTAGAGTTTCTTCTTCTTGATGTATGAGTCGTAGTATTTGGCCATTCTTCTCTTCACCACTTCTTTCCTAAGGATAAATTGTGCTTTGGACTCTTCCGAGAAGTTGGTGGCCTTCTTCAGGTCTTCTTGGTTTTTTACCATCCACTCACCAAACTCACCTTCTTCATAATTATTAATGATAACCACTCGTTGGGAATGTAATTTGAGCTCCACTAGGACTAATACTTCAACAAAAAGAAAAAGTGAGAAGGATATATATCGAATAATTGAGGAGATTTTCCTGTCGTAAAATAATAAAACTTCAAAGTGACACCTAATTCTTAACACATCTTTAGGAGAGACTATAAGCTCTTTAGGGGACTTTGGGCATTTGTGGATTGAGTAATGAATGCCCATTTAAACTCCCATAAGAGTTGATAACACCTAGTAATAAGCAATTGAAGGAATCCTTAAAGGCAATAAAGAATAACCGATAATTCAAGGCATCATTGATATTGAATTACAAGGACTTATAATTTTCGATGTAACTCACTCGCAAGTAACAAGGCCAAAGGAAACACATAATTTGCTTACATACAATAATCAATAAGGAGATATGAATTGATTGCAAACAAATGCATACAGACATCCCAACAACTAGCAAATCATACATAAGTGATATGGATCAATGTGTGACACTTGTATCATTCTTAAAAGTGAATACAACAAGCAATAAAGGATATTTAATGCACACAATGAACTATCCATGAATGTTAGTATAAGCATGTGGTGATATGCTCATGACTGAAGCATTGAAAGGCATACAAACAAATGTGTATAATGCATAAAAGACCCTATAAGTGGAGTATAGTACATCAATAACGCACAAAAGATCCCATAATTCATCTTAGGAGATCTTCCATGTATGCAATATCTAAATTACAATTAGACGGGAAGATTTATAATGGCTATCAGGAATGCGCCATGAATACTATGAAGTCCCTCCAATCATTAATCATCAGCTTGTAAATAAATGTAGTAGTTCCCTACAAATATTGAAAGGAAGTATACAACGAGCGTAGTAGGTTGTTGACATAGGTATGTGGAGAATTAGCAATGATTGTAGTCAACCTGACTGTCAACAACAATGTACAAATAAACACATTGAATCTCTTGTAGACTATTGAAGTTCATGTACCACGAGTTCAATGAGTCATTAACAAAGATGGATGAGGGATCTGTAGTGAACATAACTCACCTATGAATCGGTCAAGCAAGTAGATGCATCTGTCCCCTTCAAACATAAGAATTGGACATGCAATGAACACATTAATCTTCTTGCAAGTAGAGACCAAATTGAAGGGATAACAATGTGTTTGCAATCAATCAATAACATAGAGTTCCTAAGGAATTTTGAAGATCTCCAAGCCAATCAGAATGCAAATATCAGTTAGTAATGTCGCTCGGTTCATCATACATATTGCAAATCACCTTCAAAGATAATAAACAACTTGCAAACACAACATCTACAAACAATGACTCATGGAGGACAAAATTCCTATGTTCCACCCACTAGAAATAAATGAAATGGACATAGATGAATAATCAAAAGACTCGTGATAGATAAGTCACCAAATGTCACCTTCTTGTTTGTGAATATCAATAATCTACAATCAATCAATTTGAAGGCAATGATACGTAATGAGCATGCAATGAATGTGGTTAGTTATCAGCATTCACACACGTTGAATGTGAACATCCACATGCAGATGTCAGAGGTTTATCAAACCCCCTAAATTTTCTTGCAAGCAAAAGTACTCAACCCTACAAGTAACGAAACTGAAGAAGATATCTAAGGATGAAGCATGAAGAGTATGCAACAAGTTGCAATGTACACTACACAATGCAACAAGCAATACATGCAAACATCTACTAGCAATGAAACATGATTTGCTGCAAATACATTTATACTGTATGAGGAAAGAGGTCGATACACAACAAATTCAAGCACATGCAAGAAACTGTATGAAACCCTCCATCCATGCAACATCTAGCCTATGAGTAGCAGGATTTTTTTAGAGCGTAGTAGTTTACCTATGAAAAGCAGCAAGTAGTGCATGACAGTCTACCCGTATGAAATGGGAAAATAACCATAGTACGATGCCATGCCATTGCATTCACAGCATATATACAAGCGGACAGAAGGCAAGTACATGTTGCCAAATAGAACATTACATTCAAGTGATAGTTGCCTACACAATTGATCAATACCATATATCCAAAAATGTCCCCACACATGCACTACAATATGTATACACATGAATATAAAGAAATGCATATGCAATGACACACTCACATGGGGCATGGGTGAGCGTGTTATGGGCACACACCTGATATCTAGGGATGCTGCGCGGGTTAGAAAATAAACCCAAGTTTGATCCCGATCCTGTTATGCGGGTAGAAAGGAGTCGATATAACTCAAACTATCAAACAAATATGTACATTTACATTGTTGATCAAATATTTATTTTATAGTTCATGTTAGATCTTCAAGGCCCATAATAAAAAAATTCATCAAAAAATATAATACATATGATAAGACTAATCTTGTATCGACAAGTTGACAAAGTCAACAAGGTTAAGTCAATAAAATGTAAATGCCAATAATACCCTGAGGATGGCCGTGGTCAGTGTAAATCTCAATAAGAGAGGTTAATTTCAAATACAAAATACCTACCAAATACCCATGAAAATCCAAAACTCCAAAAATTCTAAAATTCAAGAATATTCAAAAATCAAAATTGATCATCAATCGCTTAAAGCAAAACCCATCCACCATTCGCAATACTTTGTCGAGGTGGACAAATTTAAACTCTACTTTAGCTCACAAAGAGATAATATCTAACCAAGAATATCATTAAGATTTATTCTCAAAAGTCTCTTGTCAGCAAGGACATGACATGTGTCCTTAAACTGATAGTTTTTCCACCAAATGTCATCGCAAATAAATAATTATGATTGGAGATCTTTGAATTAGGTGATTTACCACCAAATAACACCACTAAATTATAGTTATGGCTAGAGCCTGTAAGCTCCCAAATGGCACCAAATCTTTGAGATATGAATCAATAAGATATAATCGATAGGGTACAAAACCCTTTGTTAGTTAAGGTGGATTCAAAATTTTCCCCTTAGATAAACATCTACCCAAAATCTATAAGGTACTCTTGGATGACGCAAACCATGGGTGGGGATAAGGATCATTATGGTAGGTTGAGTCGACTACATCCTCTGACTAAGTAGACTAGGGACCATAATGGCCATCCACTTTAAATACAAGATGGTGAATTTTTCAATTTTAAATATCATACTTCCAATATCTAAACCCATGATGCAATTATATGCTAGATACACATATCTCTACGTATCTGATTGACAACTAGCCTTTATCAAAAGTTCTCTCTCGTCATCGGGAGGGTTAGTTAACTATAAAAACTTGTGCTTATTGAAAACTAGAACTCATATTATAAAAGCCTCGCAAAATGAGGGCGAAACCTCTGGGTAAGGTCTTATCTACAAACCCAATTTTCCTTATGAAAATTTACCCCGTGACTTAATCCGTTAAAATTTCCACCAAAGAAGGGTATGTAGATTTTTTCTTACTGGAGATCTTGATGGCAAGAGAAGCACAACAAGTTATATCTTCACTTTGAAAAATGTTGTAGTGAGTTGAGTTTCTAACTTATATAAGAGTGTTGCATTTTCAACCACAAAAAAATTGAGTACATTATTATCACTGAGGCTAGAAATGAGATGATATGATTGTAAAGTTTCATGGCTAAACTTGACAAGGGGCAAAGGAATGAGAAGTTGCATAGTGACAACATGAGCCTTATTCATTTAGCCAAGAATGCTGTATTTCATGCCAGGATGAAACACATCTAACTTCATTATCATTTCATTAGATGACTTTTGAAAGAAGGAAAGTTATTTTTGGAGAAGATTCACATGACTAAGAATCATACAAATATGTCGATGAAGATGGTGACGACAGTTGATAAACTAAAGCTATGTGTAGCTTCAATTGAGATGAGAGCAAAGGTGAGCCACATTATATGTACTATGACTAGTGCTGCAGATCGGGAGAAAGATTTATTGCAACCAGTTTCCAAGTGAGAGATTGCTAATGTTATGTGGAATTTGATTGTGTCGATCAATCATGTTATACTGCCTCAGACCTCAATTTCGTCGGTCCAGCTCACCGAGGGGTTGAATCCATTGTCAAGTAGACATGATATAGAGAGTTGAGCGCCGCTACACTGCGAGGTAGGCTATGCTGTTTTCTTTCTTATTTTTCATTAAGAGTTGCATCCATTAGTGGTTATGTGAGTTTTTTTTTTTTTTTTTTTTTTTTGTTTGTTAAGAACGGTGCAAGGCTGAAGTTAGACGAGGAGTGAGAAAGAGAGAAAATAGATCTTTAATATTTCTTCCAAATTTTCATAGTGAATTTCTTAGTGTGTGATATGGCTTAATAAAATTTTTCTCGGTTTTGAATTTTTCCATGTTAAATCATGATGTTCTTTCTTTTCACTATATTTTTCTTTCTTGTTTGTATTTGTTACATGATTTACTTCCCCAACATTAAACTAAACCAGAGTTGATTTTTCATGCCACCGTGATTTGATTCAAGTCTCTTCATTTTAAAAGTAACCAACTGTGTTTGTCTCTAGTCAATATCGAGTTGAATCGTACTTCTTTGAAGCTAATCATCTTAATGCAGAAGCAAACTAAGTTTCACTTGAATCAATTAAAATAAAATCCTAATTATCATTTTGACTTTCGAAAACAATTATGAGCCTGGTAACTAAGGATGTGCGTATGACAATGCACAAACCTCTAATGGTGATAAAGGAAGAGGCTATTCCAATGAGAGTTTTTATTTATATTTATACTGCAAGTAAACAACAAACAATACGTAAAAGAATCTTGGTTTATTTGCTATATGAATATATCATTGCCATTTGATGTTACAAACAAGTCAAAATTGCTCAAACAAGCTTTGACACCGTTTTTTTTTTCTTGTTTTTTTTAGAAGGAATGGACTGAATCATATAAGCTACAAAGGTAGGTCTCAAATCAGAACAAAGAGGTTGATGATGAATTTCCATCAACAACTATTCAAGAAGAAATTACTGGATAGCTATCAAAACTAAGATCCTCAAAATTATCCATGGAAATTAAATGATTTCGATCATGCAACATGGCAATCGAAATTGCAAAAGCCTGCAGCAAAGGAATGGAAGCCTTGAACTCTACTGTGAACATGTCCTCTTTGAAAGAAACCATGCTGAAAGAAGGCTTTCCCTTTCGAGCATCACCCTGAAACAAATAAGACATTTTTAGAATCCATCAAAAATTTTCAAAAAATCATTTTATGAAAGCAACTTAATTACCTCAGTAAAAAGATCAAATCCACTATTTCCATGATCAATAATATCTCCACAATCTTGGACCATTATGGAGACATTGTTCATTTGTTTGGTATTGTTGGTTAAAATTGTCAGCTCACAACCTTCATCCCAACCTCCACAATCACATGCTCCTCCTGATTCCCATTTTTCTATCAATTTGGAGGGTTCTCTTGTGTTAGAGAAGCTATGAACACCACTGGGTAGAATAGCAACAATACATGGAGAACATAGATTGCCACAGCTGGGGCTCCCTGTCTTCTGGTGTGAAGATTCAACTACTATGGCTGCAAGCTCAGTACGGCTGGATGAATTAGTAGCATCATCACGATTCTGATTTGATGATAACGACGAAGGAAACAATTCATCACCCAAGAGAACAAGCTCTCTTATGAAAGACCGATGAGTGAGATCAAAGCTCACTCTCTCGGAACTAGAAACAATCAATTCAGCGACAAACTTGCAGCTGAATTCGGACTTCTTATTCTTTGTTCCTTGACTTAACCAGGCACCATTTTTCTTCTTAATCTCTGCAGCCATAGCTGTGTGTATTTCATAAACACAGTCACAAATGTTCATGTCTGGGTTACCTCTTTTATGCATCATGGCCACAAGAATACTATCATCACTGGATGAGAACATAAGAAGTGGCAGCCCATTCTTCCAACTGAGTTTCAGAAGAGCTTGCCTTGTCAAAGTAGAATGTATAGGGTCGACAACACCGCAAGATTCTTGCGGCTGCTGAGAAGAGTTGACAGATGTAGACGATGACTTACGTGTTGATTCGAGCATCTTCCTCAAAGGGCTACGCCTTCCCCTGCTATTACTTCTTGAAACAGAGGGATCAGGATCTAATAGTATCTCCTTCACTGAGCTACGTCTACCCCTGCTATTACTTCTTGCTCCAGCAATATCAGGATTATCTGAAATTGAACCAACAGAGGAGGTAGACATTCGCGGATGATCAAAAAACAGCCTCATTGGGCTTCTCCGTCCTGTACTACTACTTCTTGAAACAACATCAATGGGAGGATTATGTACAATGGATTTCAAAGGACTTCCGCTTATCCCTTTCAAGTCAACTCTTGGAAGAACAATAGGTAATAGTTCTCCTCCTTTTTCGAAAGATGGATTTTTGTTAGCTCCAATTATTGTATTGTTTGTGCTGCTTCTTGAGCACTTGGGAGAAGGGGGAATGCAAGCATCATGAGGTTCTTCTCTATGTGTGTTGGAAGAAGGCGCAAATGAACGTGGAGGAAGAGAAAGATTTTCCGAAAATCTGCTGCTATTCATCCTCCTCAGATTTCCTTGATCAAGCAATCCAGCTTCAAAGCTAAGAATACTTCTTGCTATTATCTCCTCAAGATGTTTCCTCCTATGTTTGGGTCTCCCTCCATCCTGGTTTAAATGAGACCTGCTACCATCCTGCTCAATACTGATTTGCAGTTTCTCTAATTCATCCAATCTAGCGGTCTTAGTACTCTCATTACTACGTAACAAAGCAAAGTTCCCTGAAACTTTGGAAGCTGAAGGCAAACTTCCAATAATGTCTGCTGCATCTCGGGATTTAAATATGTTTTTACTTGAATCTTTTCTCCTAACATTTCTTTGTTCCTTTTCGGCTGAACTAGCCAAACTTGAAGTAGGGCTAAAAGTAGAAGATTGCTTCCTTTCATGAGTAGGGCTAGCATTGCTTCTCGAAGAAAATGGAGATGAATAAAATGTGGATAAATTACTACCAGGTGGAGAATCATTGTTCATTTTATTTGCAGCAAGCTTCTTTTCATGATCTGTCCACTTTTGCAGACGCCTCCAATCAAGAACACCAACATTCAGCACTTTATCTTGAATGTTGTATAATCCCTTCTCCTCGCGTTGGAGATAGTTTGGGATACTTGACATATACTTGACCATCTCTTCAACCTCGGATGCCTTCCTATTAGGACATGGCTGCCTATGAATTGAAGGCAAGGAATGATCAATTTTATCATTTCTAGCATCCTCTGAATGCATTTCCAGCCACTCCTTCTGCACTTTGGACTTGCTTGTGTTTTCTCCAAGGTTGAATGGTTGATTTTGTTCTGAACTCATTATAACAGGAGCAACATAATGACGAATGGCAACTTCTTCATGCGCTGATCCCATCAGAGCTGCAATCTCTTCCCTTTCTTAGTTGATGCTGCAGATGACATTGGTGTAGTTTAGGAAAATCAGTTTCGAATATGAAACATTGACTAGAGAATTCAAGCAAAGAAATATCATTTGTTCCATAGGGCTCTGAATATTGGATTAAGCAGAAGAGATAACTTTTGCTAGTGCAATTATAATCCAATAAGAAAAAACTCATCCATTTCTTGAACAGTTTTAAATTAGCAACAAGTGTTGGAACAAAAGTGGGGTGGAAAAAGTTTACCCCAAATATAGAGAACAAAATTTGTAGAATATATATGATTGAAGAAGAATTTAAAGATAAAATTTCTGAGGCATGCCTAATTAGATAGACATTTACTAAAATCGAAGAGATGTCCCTTCCTCTCTAAAACAGTTAAAGGCAGAAACCGAATAAATTAGGGAAAGGACCGCAAGACCTTGGACACCCAACTAGAAGCAACAATCTCTCCTTTTTCATGGCTGAAAAAAAAGAAAAAAAGAAAAAAAGCGCTGGGCTGAAACCAATACTAATACTAATAATAAAAGCTCAACCTTTTCATTCAATAATATATACTTACCTTTCCCACTCCCTTATGCTTTCTCTCTTTCTGCAAATTTCTACGCTATCTAATGCGTGAGGTGAATTTCCTTTATCAGCAAACTTAAAAAAGAAAAGATAATCAAATTGTAAAACATCCACAGGAAGTTCATCGCCTCTTCTGACGATCTGGAACTTCACACCCTAACAAGAAGAGCATCGAAATAATTGACTTTGTACACTAATACAACTAATTAACACAATCGATCAACAAAGTTACACGAATAACACTGATCGACGCAAAGCAGTCACCTTTAAAACAGCTTCGTGAGAATAATAAGCATAGCAATCACTCGGTACAATGAATGAAGAGATCTAGAAAAGTGATAGATACCATAATTTATCGAAGAAGAAGCATGGCTTAATAAGAGAAGCAGCAGTATTTCTCTGTGCATTCCAGCTTTCGAGCTCTGAAGTCTTGAAGAGAGAGAAAGAGAGACTCAGCAAGAGCGAGAAAATGGAGAGGCCGCCTTCGATTTTGTTTGGTAGCGGGATTTGGGCCTTAGAAATTGGCCGACTGTGATTCTCACCAAGTCGTTGAAAATAATTGTCGGCATCGCAACCAATAATTGGAAAAATTATTCCGTCAGCCAATCTGATGAAGAGCTACATCAAGTAGTCTATAATATGTCGCTACGTGCATTTACTCTTTACCGTGCGGCCCGACGATCCGACCCGGAACGGACCCGGGAGTTTGCGTAGCTCGGTATTGCTAGGTATTGGATGATTTTGCTGGACAAAAACGAAAAATATTATTATGTGAAGACCAATACCGACCAATACCGAGCAATACCGAGCAATATCGAGTTCAACACCGAGCAATACCGAACAATACCAAGCAATACCGAGTTCTTTTAGGTATTACTCGGTATTGCTCGGTATTGCTTGGTATTGCTCGGTATTGGTCTTCACATAGCGGTATTTCTCGTTATTGCCAAACAATACCGAGTAATACCTAGCAATACCGAGCAAATACTGAGCAATACGCGAACATAGTAATCCCGGATCGGGTCGTCGGGCCGCGCGGTAAAGAGTAAATGCACGTGGCGACATATTATAAGCTACCTGATGTAGCTCTACGTCAGGTAATCTGACGGAATAATTTTTCCAATAATTAACCCACGCAGAATCTGGCCAAAGCATTCTTGCCTCCTCATTCACAGTCTCGGGATCAAGTACCGAAAGCGGAGTGTTCGAGAGGAATAATTTAATTTCAAGTAATGATTATTCACTTGTTTTTTTTTTAATCTTAACCGATTAACATTAATTCATACACATAATACATTTGAAAATCTTGAGCTTAATTTTTTTTAATTAACAGTAAAATTTATAATTAATAGATCAAGCTGAACTATGTATGATTATTCACTTCAAAATAAAATATGTAATTTTAATTAATATTTAAATATGTGCATTTATTTTAAAATATTATTTTATTTTAACATAAAATTATTTTTTATACTTAAAAGAAGACAAAATAGGATGAATTCTTTCTATATAATTATAAAAAATATCTATGCAGCATGTAAACTGCAAGTAATTTTTATGATGTTGTAATAACATTATATATATATAAAAAAAAAAAAAAAAAAAAAAAAAACTTTTTTTTCAACTTTATGCGAAGCCCTTCATAATTAAGGATGTGATCATGCATAGTATCAAGTTATGGCTCATTTTCAAAATTATGTGAAAAACTCTTAAGAGAGGAAGAAGTAGAAAGCATTGCCCAATTGAATTATATTAATTGCTCATACAAAAATTAGTTGAATGGCGAACCTCATCTCCAAGTAATTAAAAAACTTACTATAAGACTCCCCAAGCAATTAAAAAAGATGAATGACACTACAATAGGTCCACATGCATGCCAAATAAGCTTTTTTTTTTTTTTAAATAATTTTTCATCAACTTTTTATAATAGTGCTTGGGATCATCAACAAGAGTTTCATTTTTATTTTTTCAATTTCTTACTAAAGAAAATTAAATATAAGATAATAAATAACTTACAATTTATAACGTCTGCTCTTCATATTCTGAAAGAGTTGAATGATTAGTTCATTATCAATACAATCTAAATTTTCTTTCTCAATATAAGCGATTAACATATTATTCAGCCATTGATATCCAATTCTATTTAGCACCTAATTTTTTATAATATTCATGCCACAAAATGCTCTTTCGACCCCCCTCTATTTGTTTTCAAAGTCTGAGGGTTGGTGATCTTTATGTGAGTCTTCATTACCAAGGTCAAAGAGGTACAAGTTCACCTATTATGACCTATCAGCTACTTGTTAAGTACCTGAAAAAGACATATGCAAGTTTACATATATGATGCAAGAGAGTTTATAGGATAAATTTGGATATAGTTATTATACAACACAAGTAGAATTATTATATAGATCTTAAAGGAGATTAATGTTGACCCTAAAAGCCTTGGTATATAATTTATTAGATTTGAGTAATTTTTTATCTTATTATCTACATGTTTATCTTAGAGATATCAATGATAGTGAACACCCAAAGTAAAATTAATTTTAATCATTTGTGGCTTCCAATATATATATATATATATTGTTTTAATAATTTTTTGTAATTTTGAATGCTTTATTTGGCTTGACTTCTACTTATTTATGTTTTGATTGATTCCTTCATAGTTTTAATATTTATTAAAAGTATCACGAGAAAATTATTTTATGATTTTTTAAGTTAGCAAAATTTTTCTAAAACTTATGTGGCTAACGACTAAGTGTTCCAAAGCAAGTTTTTTTTTTTTAAAGCTTTGTTGCTTGTTGCTAACTACTTGGCTTCCTATGTTAAGCTGTTATTAATAAATTATATCTTATCTAAATATTATTGTTATAGATTTTTTAGTGCTACATTCTTTAGCTATTTGATTTTGTCCAATATCTTAGTTATACTCTATAATACCCAAAGACCTAATTTATAATTAGAATTGTCTATTTTATTTACTATTCAATCTATCAAAGCCACTCATAATTCATTAGAATAAATAAATATTGCAAAAACAACTTTACATTATATACATTAGTTTATAACTCTATATTCATTTCCCAAAATTTATATACAATAACTTCGAGTTTAACCTATCACATCCATTTATCACTATAAGTAACTTGTTTAAAAAAAAAAAAAAAAAAAAAAAAAAAAAAAAAAAAAAAAAAAAAAAAAAACCCTAAAAACCTAAACTAAAACTCAAGATCCCGGTCAACTTTGCTCCATCGAATCCTAGTCTCCTCTCAAAATTGAAATCAATAAATTCACATAATGAGCTACAAAAGCCCATTAGGTTACCAGAACTTACCACAACATTCAACGCAAGGCATTTAACATTAATATGCATACTTCATTTCAATCAATATAGCATATAGAGGTCTATATAAATTTTTATCAATCAATATAAAGTATAAATCAATATTCTAAATAAACAAATGTTAATAAAAAATCTTTAAAAAATTAATAGATAGAAGTAAATTAATAATCTTCATATCAATAAAGTTTCATATAAAATTTTAATAATATTTTAGAGCTATTAATTATGAATTTTTATTCTTTTATAAATGCATGTAATTTATATATCATGTTGTGTGTACAGAATTATCAATCATATCAGTCTCTTTCTCTATCTATCTCATCATGAGTGTTATCATGTATATTATCATGCATTTGCTAATACATCAAGTATTATCAAATGATTATGCATGTATGCATATGTTATATGATTTAAGCAAGAAATGATATCTAGCTATCATGTGATTTTTTTTTCATTTTGTAACATCAATATAATTTTTAAAATGGTGGCTTTCATTTAAGAGTCATCACTCTCTACTAGTCAGTGTAGTTAGTCAATCAATCTTAAGCTAAATCCATGATGACACCACAAACCTTTATTATAAGGAATCCCATCACCCCACTCTAATGTATAGGAAATTCAACTTATAGCTGACCCTTATTAGTCACATCATTTATATCTAACCATACTTACATACCCAAGTCACATTATGTATATCATATCAATTTTTAGAATCACATAACATGTACGTATACATTACAAAGGACATAACATATAATATACTCATTAATATGTGTTAAGTGTAAATTTAGTAGTGTATTACTATTTTAAATATCAGTAAAAATATTATTTTAAGTTAATGTTATGTAGGAATATCTCATAAAAAGAAGAAAAATTCATAAGTACTGAATTGACACCGCAATACTCCAGCTACTAGTGCCGTAGCATCCACAACGCCTTGGTGCCAGATTAGGAAATCATAGTGCCTGAGCCTTGGGAAAAATAACAATTAATTTGGTGCCCTAATAAAGCCAATGTTAGCACCATAGCTCAAAAAATTAGCACCACAACACCTGAGTCTCAAGAATTTGAGCACTAGGGTGCTAAATCAAATAAAATAATAGCACTAGATTACACCTTCAATTTTAATGCATCAGTGCTCAACTTTTGGCAATAAATTAGCCAAGTGATGCATCAATTTAGCAATTAAACGAGTTTGATTTGACCAATATTACAGTGGAGCAAGCCCAACAGTGCTAAGGCACTAGTTCAATCTATAATGACATGAAACTACCATGTAGAGTGTTGCATTGCCTGTGTCTATTTCTATGCAAGTATAAACAATTTTTATGTTCATTTGAGTAGGAGTTATGTTTGTCATTTTTAGTGAGTTTTGAGTGCTCAAGTATAGTGCCCCCTTAGTGTTAAGTCTAAGGGAGGCCAGAGGAGAGAAAGATATTTCATTTGGGGATCATTATCTTATTTATTTATAATCAATTAGACATTTGGAGGAGAAAGAAGTGTGGATAGTATATTATATTATTCAGGTGACATTTTACTCTTGTGCATTCTCTTATATGCAAGTAATAAAATCTATTTTATTTTCTTTTATAATTTCCTTAGTTGGCTAATTTCTTAGGTTTGGACTAATAATGTGAATCCTTTGCAAGTATTAATATAGACTCTTATGCATTGAATGAATAATAGATGTTTTTAATATCTTGCATTCTTAATTTAATGCATATATTTATAACGCGTGTAGTTAAAATTTAATGTGATATATTATCTCATAGGAGGAATATTAGAACAATTAGGAGTGTTTGAATGGTACTTTTGCATGCCTAGACTAGGATGTTTAGTATTCTAGGTTCTATGGAGATGAATCATTATAAGAAGGCCATAAACCTCCCTTTATATCTCTATAAGCTTGACAAAGATCTAGGGATGCATATGCTCTGATCCACTTCAAACACAGAAGATTCTACTTTGGAAAACTTAGGTAATCCACATTCAATAGCCCAAAATATTTAATAATATGGTATCTTTTCTTTTCTTTTGTATTCCCCAATAGAGACAAAATCTCAACCCTTATTTTCAGTTAGTGGAATAAATATTATCACTATAGTAGACAATATTGGTTCATTTGAATGCTACTAGAACACTTCCTTATGGGATTAATACTCTCTAAATTCACTTCATTATTTGATAGGCATGTGCACTTGCATATTTAGTGGATATTACATATAAAAGAAAACCTAAGCAAATTTAATCCATAACATAAACATAATTCACGCATTCAACACAAACCCATCCCCTCATCAAATTTTTGGTGCCATTGTGGGGGAAGTAATGTGCTTTTATGGAAATTGATATATATTATTAAGCTAGTTACATATTTAGTCATACTTGTTTCCTGTATCTTATATCCTGTTGTTATTTTTAGAACAAAATTTTGAAAAAGAAAGAAATTTTTTTGTTATTTTTTATTATTTATTTGATTTCATCTTTGTTATTTCATGTGTAGTAAATCTAATAAGGTGCCATTACAATTTAATATGGAGATTGAGATGACCCTTACAAAAATTTAAAAATCCAAAATGACTTTAGCTTTAGGTATGGTTGAACCAATTCAAGATTAAGACCATCCTAGACCTCTTCGGGAGTATGCCAATTCTATTATAGATATAATTGATCAGAGTATCAATATACCTACTATCCGAGTTAATAATTTTGAGTTGAAATTAACCATAATTCGGATGGTTCAAAATTTCCAGTTTTGGAAAACTCCTATGGAGGATCCCACCTACACTTATCTAGCTTCTTAGAAATCTGCATAACATTGAAGTATAATGGTGTCAGCGATGATGCTATTGGCTTCGTTTGTTTCCATTTTTACTAAAGAATAATGCTAAGATGTGATTGAATTTCTTTCCCCTAGGCTGTATAACCTCTTATAATGAGTTGACACATAAATTATTAGTTAAATATTTCCCACCTTCAAAAGTTATAAAACTTAGGAATGCTATATCATCCTTTTCCCCATTTAAAGTAGAGTTAATTAATGAAAGTTGGGAGAGATTTTAGGAGATGATTAGGAAATGCCCACACCATGCTTTATAAGATTGGTTAGTTATGGTCAAAATTTTCATAATAACTAATCCATTTAATAAAGCCTATGCATTAATTAAAAAATGTATACAAATAAGTTTTAGTGGCCTTATAATAGGGTGAATCCTAAGAGAGTAATTGAAGTTTATAAGTCAAATGCTTTATCTATTTTTACTTCTTAAGTAGTTGTTATATCTAAAAAGTTTAGTAATTTTAGAGTTAGTTCAGGATTAGGATCACTTATACAATAGGAAGAGCATGATTTGAATTCTATGGGTGATTGTAGTGTTCAAGGGATTGAAAATGTGAATTTGATTGGAAGACAAATAATCCCTATTCTAATACTTGCTATCCAATTTGGAGGAACCACCCTAATTTTAATTGGTCTAATAATAATATTAGTAGTGACAATCAGTGGAATGTAGGCCAATCAAATTAATGGGAAAATTGAAACAATGCTCAGCAACCTATAGAAAATCCTAGACTTTCTTATCCCCTTCGTATTAATCAAAGAAATCAATTCATAGATAGGAAGACACCTTTGGAAGAGGTAGTGATTCAAATGGGAATTGAAATGCAAAATTATGCTACAACCCTTAGAAATATAGAAAATAAAATTGGGCAACTTACTTGTTTGATCAATAATAAATCATATCATGAATATTTTATCTTGGAAGATAAGAAATTGGAAGAGCAATATAATAATATTCAGCTTTATAGTAGGAAGGATTTGGGAGATCCTTATAAAGATAAAAATCAAACTCAAAAGGATAGTGGTATAGAAGAGCCTTTAGAAGCTTATTACCTAAGAACTTGAACCAATAAAAGAACTAAGAGACCTATTAGGAAGTTTGTAGAGAGACTAACATCACCTTTTCCCGGGAAGCTGATTAAATAAAATTCGGATAAGCTATTTCTAGGTTCCTAGAAATATTCAAAATGTTAACCATTAATATACCTTTATTTGAAGCCTTAGAGCAAATTCCAACCTATTCTAAATTTATGTAAGGTATTTTTAATAAGAAAATGAAGCTTGGAAAATTTGAAATTATAACTTTAACTAAGGAGTATAATGCTATTATTCAAAAGAAACTCCCTGAAAAGGATAAGGAGATACCTATTATCTTGGGAAGACCTTTTATAGCAATGAGTAAGGCTATGATTGATGTTCATAAAGGGAAATTAATTATGAGAGTGAGAGATCAAGAAGTAACATTGATGTGCTTAAATCTTTGAAATTCCCTGATGAAAAGAATAAAGACAATTTTAGAATTGATTTGGAAGAAAGGTTGTTGAAAACTTTAAGGAAAATATGATAGTGAAAATTCATTGGAGGAAGATTTGAAGAAAAGTTTTGAGGAATTATAAGAATATGTTGAATTTAATAGAGAAACTGATGGGATATTTAGAGAGATATTTGAGAATTTGGAGACATCATTTTTGGTAGAACTTTAAGACTATATATAGAGGAAGTACCTATTTTAGAGCTTAAAGTACTTTCAAATTAACCATCTTAAGTATATCTTTTTAGGTATTGATTCAACATTGCCTATTATAATATCTATAAATTTGGATAAAGAATAGGAAGGTAAGTTGACTAGGGTTTTAGGAGAATATAAATAAAATTTTGAATGGATTATTGTTGACATTAAAGGAATTAGCCCCTTAATTTGTATGCATAGGATTTTAATGGAGGAAAATTCTTTTTAAAAAAATTTACCCTCAAAGAAGACTAAAACTATCCATATAAGAAGTTGTTAGAAAATAAATATTTAAATGATTAGATGCAAGAATTGTGTATCCTATTTTAGACAGTGCTTGGATGAGTCCTATTTAATGTATACCTAAGAAGGGTTGTTTGATTGTAGTATCCAATGTTCACAATGACCTTATTCCTACTAGGAATGTCACTGATTGAAGAATTTGTATAGACTATAGAAAGCTGAACAAAGCCACTAGAAAAGATCATTTTCCTTTATCTTTCCTTGACCTGATGTTATACAAGTTGGTAGGACACTTATTTTACTATTTTTTAGATGGATATTAAGAATACCACCAGATTCTTATATCACCTAAGGATCAGGACAAAACTATCTTCACCAATCCTTATAGGATATTTTCCTTTGTAAGAATGTCTTTTGGTATTTATAATGCCCATACTACTTTTCAAAGATATATGATGTCAATTTTTTTAAAATTAATTGAGCAAGACATTGAAATCATTATGGATGACTTTTCTATTTTTGGCAGTACTTTTGATTCTTATCTTGATTATTTAACTTTTATGCTTAAAAGGCGTGTAGAAATAAATTCAGTGCTAAATTGAGAAAAATGTTGATTTATGGTGACTAAAAGGATTATTTTAGGTCATAAAAATTCTAATAAAGGATTAGAAGTGGATAAAGCCAAGGTCCAGGTCATAGAAAAACTGCCATCACCGACTTCAGTTAAAGGAATTGGGAGATTTCTATGGTAAGTAGGATTTTTATATGAGATTTATAAAGGATTTTTATAAAATTTCTAAACTATTATGTCACTTATTGGAAAAAGATGTTTTGTTTATTTTTGACACTACATGTTTTAATACCTTTAAAACTTTGAAATAACATTTAATCCCTGCTCCTATTATTATTGCACCTTATTGGTCTTTACCTTTTATAGTCATGTGTGATTTAAGTGATTTTACTGTAGATGCTGTACTTGGCCAAAAGAAACATAAAAAATTTCATGTCATTTTTATACTAATAGAATATTAAACACTACATAATGTAATTATACAACTACAGAAAAAGAACTACTAGCCATTGTATTTGTTTTTGATATATTTTGGACTTATTTGATTGACACAAAAGTTATTATACATACTGACCATTTTATAATCAATTTTTTTACGACTAAGAAAGGTACCAAACCTAGATTACCTCGATGGATTCTTTTGTTGCAAGAATGTGATGTAGAAATTTTAGATAGAAAATGTACTTAAAATTAAATTACTCATAATATTTTAAGACTTACATTCAAAGATCATGCATTTACTATAATTGATATCAATAAATTTTATCTTTATGAGCATTTATTTTTTTACATTTGAGAAGATTGCTTTGGTATGTTGATATGGTCAATTTTATTATTAGTGGTGTGCTTCCTTGTGATTTATCTTCTGCTTAGAAAAAAAAAACATGAAGCTAAATACTACTTTTGAGATGAGCTATATCTATGTAAAACTTATAATGACCAAATCACTAAGAGATGTGTCTCTGAGGATAAAGTAGAATAAATAATAAGGGCATATTATGACTCACATTATAGAGGGCATTTTGGAGATTTCAAAATTACTTCAAAGGTACTCCAATAATGTTTTTATTAGACTATATTATTTAAAGATGTTAATGAATATGTTAAGAAGTGAGATCAATATCGAAGAATAGGCAAAATTTCTAGAAGGAATGAAATGCCCTTAAGTAATATTTTGGAAATGAGTTGTTCGATGTTAGGGGATTAAATTTTATGGGACCATTTGTGCATTCCCATAGATGCCAATATATTTTGATTATTGTTGACTATGTGTTTAAATGAATTGAAGGAGTGTTAACCCCTAAAACTGATGCTCAAATAGTGCTTAAAGTTTTGAAGGAAATTATCTTTTTTTAGATTTGGAATGAATAGAGTATTAATTAGTGATAAGGGAAGTCATTTCTCTAATAAGAGAATAGAAGCAGCTCATGTTAAATATGATATTCATCATAGGATTGCAAAAGATTATCATCCCTAAATAAATGGCCAAGCTAAAATAAGTATGAGGGAGACAAAAAGAATCTTAGAATAAACTAAAAGTTCTAATTGGAAAGATTGATCTATTAAACTAGATGATGCATTATGGGCCTATATAACTGGTTTTAAAATACCTATAGGAATATCACCCTATCAGTTAGTCTTTGGAAAAGTTTGTCATCTTTATGTAAAATTAGAATATAAGGCATTTTAGGCTGTGAAGGAATTAAACTTTAATCTTAAGGGAGAAAAAGAAAAAAAGGCAAATACATTTAAATGAGTTAGAGGAATTTAGAAATGAAACCTATAAAAATGCTAAGATTTATAAGGATAAAATTAAAAATGATATGATTGTAAGCTTCTTAAGAAAGAATTTACCTCTGGCTAAGGAGTTTTGTTATTTAATTCTAGATTAAAATTATTACCATGTAAACTTAAGTCCTGGTGGTCAGGTGTATTTACAATTATAAAAGTATTCCCTTATAGAGCTATAAAAATTTAGGATAAAAAGACCTTTCATATTTATAAGATAAATGATCATAGGTTGAAGCCTTATTTAGGAGGAGATATAGACCTTTTGAGGAATATCACTGAATTGGCTTACCCTCACGAGAAGTAATTGGCATAGTCTGGCTGAAGACTGAAAACTTGACGATGATGAGAGGCAACACAAATATATTGCATTATTGTGAGCATTTTTTAGTTTCATTTCAATATTTGGTACTAATCTATTTATCAATCATATAATTTACTTATTTTAGCAATTTATTTATGTTATAGTTATTATAGTTTAATTTTCATTTAAGTATAATTCCTTACATTGCTTACAACAACAACAATAAAAACAACAACAATAATAACATTAAGTCTTTATCCCACTAAGTGGGGTTGGATACATGAATCCCTTTTCTCCATTATGTCTGGTTAAGAGTCAAATTCTCATTTAGATCTAATAAAGAAAGACAATTTCTAATATTTTATAACCAAGTCTTTTTAGGTCTACCTCTACCTGTCTTAACATAGGTTAAATCTAATACATCTACTCTCCTAATCGGGTCATCAAATGGTTGCCATTTTATATGACAAAACCATTTAAAGGTTGCCATTTTATGTGACAAAACCATCTCAATTTTCTGTTTTATGTGACAAAACCATCTAAGGTGACTACTCTCCCACTGGAGCTACTCCAACCTTTTCATGAATATGCTCATTTCGTATTCTATCTCTAAGAGTAAAG